CTGGGCCTCGGGTCTTGAGGAGGTTGCTGCCCCCCAGGTGAGGGAGGCGTGCTAGAGGTGTGGGCCCCGGGCGGGGTGTGGGGAGCTCGTTCAAATGGGATCCGATCCGTCTCATGACACCCGTCAGATGGCTCGCGCGAGCTGCCGAAATGCTCTTCGGCCGTCGAAACGCTCTTGAGTCCAAACCGTACGACCCGCATAGTGTCCTGGCTGACACCGCTGGCCCACTGCACCAAACTAGCGCGCATTAACGTCATTCACAGACTTTCTCTTCTTTAATCTCTTTCTCTGGCCCGGACTGCTCCGTAATCCGAAATGGATGAAGCCGCTACACAAGGGCGGGCTGAAGGGCCCCGCCGTGCCGCGGCAGCCTCGCCTCGTGCCGCCCTCCTCCCACTCCCAGACTTACCACTCCGCGCTCTCTTTCCCGGTCGTGCCGCAGATTATCAGCGCCACCAAATCGACTTTTCATGTCAGATTCGTCATCGAAATCATGCCGTTTACATTTCGCCACCAGAGGAAGAAAATTTTAGGAGGAGGGGAGAAGGCTTACGAGGGCCGTGATGGATGAGACCCGTGGAGCTGATGACGCAACTAACGACCTTTACCGCTTCTTCAAAAATGTCGTCGTTCTAGGAACGTTATTGAAAACAGACTACCATTTTCTTTTTGAATTGTCAGTTGATACGTGCGAAAAGCACCCTTTTCACACTCGGAGACTCGCCACTCTCACTTCTTTTTGTGTGACTTATTAAACTAAAACACTGACGTCTGTTTATCTTCGGGGAGACACTCTTAAAACCTTGTTCGCAATGCAAGGAACGCATCCGTATTGCAAATTAGTAATTCGCAACATGCGAACAAGTGCTTCGCAAATTTGCGAACAACCTGTTTGCAATGCGAACTCTTTGCAAACACATTGTTCGCGAAATTGCGGACTATCAGTTCGTAATGCAATCAAGCCAAACTCTTCGCAAGCTGCAAACCAAATGGTTTGTAATGCGAACACATTCTTCGCAAGGTTTTGAGAGTGCAAGTTTAATCTTAAAATATTTCTATTGATATTTCTGTGGTTTGTTCACCTGAGAGGTAGGTCAAGTTGTACACTTTTCACCCTGGCAGGCAACGTCTTCATCGTGGCTGGCCACGCCACGCCACGGCTTGCCCGCGCCGGGGCCACATCGCTGTATGCCCCATTTGGCCCGCTCGGTCCGACGAATTGAGAAATTGGAAGCCCCCCCCCCCCGCTCCTTTTCTCCTCTACCTCGCCGGCAGCGAAAGAAAAATCTGCCACCTTTCGTTCCAACATTCTCCTAGAGGCACTGTCGTCACTGTGCCCCAGGCTGCCCTATGTGCCGACTGAGATACATTGTTGCCTGAGCCTTTTACTACTGCTGCGTTGGTGTGCACTGGTTTCCCCAAAGGGAAATAACTCCGGCCAAATTGTACACCAAAATTCAACAAACATGTAAAATTCACTAAATTTCATCAAATTGCATCGAAATTTGACTAAAATTCATCGATATTCACCTGAAATTCATCGAAATGTGACTGAAGTTACAACGGGCCGCCTCTACATATTCGGAATGTAATTATGACATAATCGGAATCGCAAACCAAGGGGAATCACTATGAATTTCGGTGCACAAATCCAATGAATTTCAGTCAAATTCCGCTGAACTTCATGCATGGTACCATTTCCTGGATTATTGCTCCGCGCCTCCGAGCAGAGGAGACATATTCTCCGTTCCATTCCCACGCCTTTCCTACGCAAGTGCCCACGTCTCTTCTATTCTCCAGTGATGCGCCTCGCAAAGCCGAGGCCGCGCATTAGAAGGTGACCGAGGCGGTGACTCGGCGTCAAACTTTTACAGGCGAAGAGCGCGCCAAATCGATGCAGTACATGCGCCTGACCCCCTGACCTGACTCCGCGGCCTGAGTCCGGCCTCGTTTCAAAAATTTACCTAACTGCTTCATCGGCAATGGTGTGCATTCGGGGCTTTCCCCGAGTGAGTCATATCAGTCGATCGCCTTGGCCGCGCCGCGCATACTGAGTGCCTGATTAGGAAGTGACATTTCCGGGCAGATCGACTGCGTTTCCGGCAGCGAGTGGTCCACGGCGCGGGGAGAGGCGGGGTCCCGTGATGTTGTACGTAACCTGAGCCGCGATGAGCTGAGCTGGAGACGCCCGCCTTAGGTGACGTGATTCGCAGAGAGACAGACAGACAGACAGACAGACAGACAGGCGGACAGACAGGCGGACAGACAGGCGGACAGACAGACGGACAGACAGACAGACAGGCAGGCAGGCGTGGGCAGGCGTGGGTTGGAGGAAGACGTAATGGTCGGGTCGGCGTGCCGATCGCATATGCACGGCACACATCGCTGTGAGTGTGTGTTCCAAGTGTGCGCAGCGAGAGCGAGAAGAACATGGACCCCCCTCCCCCTCCCCCCCCCCCCCCAGACACACACACACACCAACACACACCAACACACACACACGCGCACAACGGTGACACCCAGAGGTGGTCGAAAAAAAAGGTGTGGCGCCTCGTCGTGGCGAGCCCGGGAGGGGGGGGGGGGGAGATAGAGAGAGAGAGAGAGAGGGGGAGGGGAAGGGGGGTCGGGAATGCGGTGGTGGCGCTCGAAAGAAAGGGACAGTCGGATGATTCCAAGAGGGGAGTGCCACTCGGTACGGCAGGCAGTGCAGTGCAATGCAGTGCAGGCAGTGTCGGACAGCGATCAGCAGTAATGCGCCAGTGCTGGAATGCTGCCACGCGCGGCCTGTAGTAGTACTACCTTTCGGTGTCGTTTCTGGTGCCATCGAAATGCCCCGTCCCCCAAGTCCCCTGGCTGCCGCCCACGCCGTGAAAGCACCGCGATCTCGGATGAAAATGCATTGGATATTCGGGCGCGGAAATCACTTGGGCCAGAATTATTATGGCAGCGGCCGAGCGGCCTCTTTTCATTATCTCTCCCAAGGTCTTTATTTTTTCTTCGCTGCCAGTGCTTTTTCCACCAGCCGAGATGGCCGAGGTTCTCTCTATGCCGAGTATTGTGGCGCGCGGCCCGACTTTAGAATATGTAAATGCGCCAGCCAATTTCACGGTTACTTGAACGCCCCGGGAGGACACCCCAGACGCCCCGCGCCCCCAAAGCCTTGATGCATGTCAATGCCCTCACGCCGTTACCATATACTATTACTATCAAGTAGTACTATCATCGAGTAACACCACGATTTTGATTTGTTTTCTCACCGTGTGTGTGTGTGTGTGTGTGTGTGTGTTTTGTCTGTGTTTTTGTGTGTGTGACCTTTGCTCGAGGGGGCCACCACTCTCATTTCAGGCGTACACAAGATTACGGGATTACGGGATATTTACCAGGGATTACGCGTGAAATTTTCGAAAATTGGTTCGAAAACGTTGAAAAATAGCTCAGAAACGTTGAAAAATGACTAAAAACGTTGAAAAATGACAGAATTTTGTCAAAGATTACGTGATTACGCCAACCAGAGATTACCCGCCAATTTGTACACAGGATTACGGGGGTGGTGGCCCCCTCGCCTTTGCTGCTAGTTGCGTGCCCACTGCACCATCCTTCACCTTCCTGAGCTCGTTGTCTGCACACATTTTTAGGGGCCGTCCGTTGCGCACTTTTGGGCACTTTTAGACGCCCCCCCCCCCGTCCCGCAGCGTTAAGTCCAACAGATTCCCCCTCCCCCCTTCCCCTTTGTTGCGCATAGTACTATTGGACGACCCCTTATTGCCCGCCGGCGGCGACAGGACGAAGTGCCGCAGTACCGGTGACGTCATCACGAACGGGTGCCGGCGCGCAAATCCACCTTCCTCTTTTTAGTTGAGATTGTTTTTCTTTCTTTGTTTTTTTTAAGGGCTGTGTGATTGGATAAAAACATTTTATTTTTCTCCGGCTCCGGGGGGCAGCTCCTGCACTGCTGAACCCACGCACGGCGTCGCAAGGCGTCGCACGGCGGGCCACCAGGCCAGCAGGCCGGCGTCTACCTGCGGACCTGCGGGGACATCGAGATGGATGCAGATAAGAGAATCTAAGTTTACGAATGGAATCGGAGACGCGCCACTCCGTCCCGGCCTGGTCCCGGCAGTGCGACGAGGGCTCAGGGTGCCAGTCTGTCCACTGCGGCCATGCCGTAGTTGGCAGCATTGGCGGTGCGCGAACCGATTTGCCGCTTTCCGACAGTGTACCGGGGAGGTGATTAATTCCCCGACAGACAGCGTTGCACAACAGCAGCGTCCTCCACAATCAGCGCGTCCTGGAGGAGAGCAAAGGGTGCGCGCATAATGGCAGCAATAATCCGATTATGTCATAATTACATTCCGAATATGTAGAGGCGGCCCGTTGTAACGCATCCGACATGTATCCGCGGTCCGCGGCCGCGAGGGTGAGGGGATGACCCGCGACAACGGTCAACGAGAGGTAACGGCTCCGCCATCAACACCTCGCCTCGCTCAGCCCCCCCCCCCCCCTCCCGACATGAAATACTTTCCGTCATGAAAGGACAGGCCGCCGGCCGCCGCCGCCCATAGTCGTCCATCAGCCGCTGGTCGAATAAGTATAATGTCGGTGAGGCACACTGCATAAAGCCCGGAGGAGGCATGCCGTTGGTCCGAGTGGCCGAAAATACGTAAGTACACAGCGGCCGTGCCACTGTAGGCGTGTGCTCGGCGACGCCAAAGTGTCGTGGTTTTGGCGGAACCCTGCCGCTCCCTGCGCCCCGCCGCTTGCTGCAGGTCCCAGCCTGCGGTGGGCCTACCCCACCTCCCGCGCCGACAGAGGGGGAGGGGGCGGAAGGGGGCGGGGGTGGAGGCGGTCCTCACCGCTGCTCCGCCGCTCAGCCGGGCAGCCAGCAGCCAGCCAGCCAGCAAGCCCGACCGCCAGCCTGCCTGCCAGCGCGCCGCGCCGCCAGCAGCAGCCAGCCAGCCGGCAGCCGGCCGCTGCCTCCCTCTGTTCAGTCCGTCGTCGCCAGCCGCGGAGGAAGGTGTTGTGCACCGAGTCTGCGCGCCTTGCCTCTCTGCGTGGCTCGTCTCGTCTCGATCGCGCCGCTTCGGCTCTTCGGCCGGCGCGTCGTGCGCCACCCGCGCGGAAGTCCGCCTCGCGCTTCGCGTGTGTGTGTGTGTGCGTGTGCAAGCCAACCTGCTTTTGGATATACTGTCGGCCCGTCGCGGCGACAGCGTTTTGTGTCTGTGTGTGTGTGTGTCACGTGACTGTCTTGTGTCAGTGGCGGAGACAGTGACGCGCAGTGCGCGTGTGCGCGCGCGGACCCAGCTCGCCGCGGGACATGTGCAGCTCGTCACAGGTGAGTTCTCGCGAGGTGTCGCTGTCACGGGCTAAACACCCGGTCACACGGCAGACGCGCCCCGGCGGAACGACGATGCGGTGTATCGGCGCGGCGCTGCGTGTGGCCGGGGAAGCCCCCGAGTCCAGCCTGCCCGCGACGCGCCGTGCCGGCCGTGCCTAGCCCAACCGGTGCGGCTCGCGGCCGGCCAGTCGGAAGGCTCGCTTTCGGCGGGAAAAAAGGACGCATCGCGGGATTGGCCAGCGACGCGGCCGGCGGGGCAGTACAAGCGGTGCCACAACTAGACAAAGGTCCTGTCGTCCCGTGCTCGCGTAAAGAAACATACCCCTGCTTTGCATCTCAAAGCCTGCTGGGAGGCGGGGCTGTGCGGGCAGGCGTCCCCCCCGTCTGGGTCTTGGAAACGCGCACCACACCACGGCCACATGTGCCCCCGGCCCCGCAGTTGCCCGGCGGCGTAAATGACACTCCGACGAGGAGCGGAAGTGGCGATAACAGTTTGTTGACGCGCGGCGATACCCCGCGCGGGGCCGCCTTGGGCCGCGAGGGGCGTCGGGCTCCGGGTTTTGGCGCGCCTCCAACGCGGCGGACGCGGCGGGGAGGAGACGGGATGGCGGCCAGGGTTACGAGTTTGCAGACTCCGCCGCCGTTCCACGGCCGGGCCGGAGCGGCGGTCCGATGACGCCATGGGAATGGGCGCGCCGGGCGGCCTGGCCGGGCTGGTCGCGTACTTGTTGGCGTGCGGGACGCGAGGACGGCGACGGCCTCGGGTCGACGACTTGCTGCGATAAAGCCTCGGCAAGCCGCTGTCCGCAGAATCGTTTTATTGCATATTTAAGTCGCCGCCCTTCCAGAATGAAAGGCTCTTGTCCCCACGTCCCTCCTGATCTCCGCCGCTTCCCCGGCGTGGACCGCACCAAGGACGGGCGGTCAGTCATCTCCCCGAGGGAGGGCCCCTCCCTGGCCGCCCCTGCCCTCCTCTATCCGCTTCCATCCCTAAACAATCATGGGAGGTCGTCCGTGTTTTCCTCCGCGCCCCCCGGGCTTTACTCTGCGACACATCGCGTCTTTTGCCGCCAGACCTCCGCGGCGCGGGGCCGAAGACCCGGCCCTCCAGCGCGCTGGGCTCTCTGTTGGCGCGTGTTTGAGTAGAGTCCTGCCTGCTTGGTAGCCTCCGCCCGAACGGGTCTCTGGCTCAGCAGGCTGATTCCGAGAGTCGTTTTCGTCGCTCTGTCTCTCTCGCACTCATGGGCGTCCCGTACAGGTGCGAGAGAGACAGGGTGACGAAAACGACTCTCGGAATCAGCCTGCTGTGTGCGACGCAAGCACGCGGTCGGCGTGCGAGTTGCATTCGATGTTGCGGCCCGCGGCCCACGCCCCGGTGGACCGCAGCCCCGCAGCCGCCTTGCCGCCGCGCTGAGTCAGAGCCAGCGCCGTTGCCGCTCTGCGGAGCTCTGCGCAGCTCTGCGTGTCCATGTGGGAAAACAAGCGATAAACTTTGGACCCGGCTGATACGCGACCGGCGCCTCCCGGACCTCGGCGCCGCGCGCTCCAGCGCTCAGGCCGAGGCCACCGAGAGGCCTGATAAGGCCTCGCACAGTGGGCCAGAAGACCGGTGGAGGCGGCCAAAACTCTAGACGCGTTTTGAGCCCCAGAGTCGCTAAACAGGACTCAAACTGAACGTGTGACCCCACCAATGGATTCCTCGTTCGGAGAGCAATCCATTGGTGGGGTCACACGTTCGGTCCGAGTCACATTTAGTGACTCTGCAGCTGAAAACGCGTCAAGAATTTTTGCCGCCTCCACCGGTTTTCTGGCCCACTGTGAGTCGGTGCCGAGATGGAGGTCGAGGACTGCCGAATCGGAGTGCCTCACTTCCACTGCCACTCCGCCTGCACTGGGCGGGAGCAGCTGCGCCAAGTCCCGCCAAGTTGATCCACTGCTTTGAAATTCGCGCGCCGCCTCGCCCGCCGCCAATTTCCTTGACCCCGCGGATCCGGATTGGCCTAACAGCGTTGCTGATGAAGCCTGCCACAGGGCGCGGGGCGCGGGGCCCAGGTCCATTCATCGCTAATCCCTCCGCCAACTTTTCGTCGCCATCAGTCTGCGAACGCAACCATCATCAACGCATCAGCGGCGGCAGCGCGGCGGGGCTGGCTGATGCTGTGGGACACATCCACCTGGCAAAGTGCCTCCCCCCCTCCCCCCTCCCCTTCCTGCTCGCGGCCGCCGAGCCGCCTGCCGCGCATCCCCGGCATCTCGGGAGCGCCGCGCCACGGCCGCGCCACGGAGGGGAAGGGTTGCTGGCGCCTTGGCTCGCGCTGGCGCCGGCCCGCCCACCGCGCGCGGCGTGCGGCTTGCGGGAACCGAACGGGCCGACGGGGCTCCTGCCCGGGCCCGTCGTGCGGCGAGGCGAAGGCCAAACTGTAGGAGAGGGCGCGGGGCGAGCCTCGACCGCACGGCCCTGGCGCCGCCGGCCCGCGGCTGCCCGCGTCTGCCCTGGAGGCCGCCAAAGCTCCGCCGCGCCCCGCCCGTAAGGTCCGGCTATTCGGCGCGCTGTTTCCAACCCTCGCCGAGCCACACCCTGTGGTGGTACTTTGCGTAATGTTTGCTCAAGATAATGCGGAGGGAGACCACCACCGCCGCCAGCCAGGGCGCCGTGTGTGTGCGTGTGTGCGTGTGTGCGTGTGTGCGCGTGTGTGTGTGTGTGTGTGTGTGTGTGTGTGCGCGCGCGCGCGCGTGTGTGCGTGCGTGCGTGCGTACCGCGTGGCACCCTGCGCCCGTGTCAACAGGATGCCCACGCCGCGGCGGCCTTCACTGCCTGCACGGCCAGAGCCCCGTATATTCATTCAGGGTCGTGTTTGCGATCACTGAAAACCACGTGGACTGAAAGCCCCCAACTTTGGGCAAAGGATGCCCATTTACCGCACAGGGGCTGTCAGCCACGGGCTTTTCAGACCACCCAAACGGGAACGCGTTCATCACCGCACCCTGATTTGGGAAAAGGCACCTTTTACCCCCGATCGGCGACACGGCTTCGGTCCTTTTGTGATACCCCCCTCGGATAAACCGGGTTTTGAGGTTCTCGGTTCCCGTTGACCCCACGCGGTTCCATCACGCATGCGCGCTGTACCTGACCCCCCGGGCGGCGCACGGCCTTGGCCCTTGGGTACCCTTCGGACCCCTTTGGTTCTTTCCCCCTTGCTTCAATCCACACGATGGGGTGTCCCCCGACCCCCGGGGTCCTGACGCGCCACCCGGGACCCGGGGCGGCGGTTCCCCCCCGGGCTCCCCGCCCCGGGAATGACTTACGACCCACGCCGAAGATGAGGACGGCGGATTTGAGGGGCCGGGCGCGGCACGCCAGGGTCGGCGTAGGTAAAGGATGGTCCCGGGAACAAATTCGATCTCCCTTTGTATTTTATTGACTGTGCTGGCTGTCTGGCGGGGCGGCCGGGCTGCGCTGGGGCTCTGCTCGCCGGGGTGGCTGCGGCCCTCGCTGCGGCCGGCTGGTCGTTCGCCCCTCTGCCTCTGACACTTTCGCGCGCCAGAAATACAACGGCAAGTGGCCTTAATTTCCACGAAAATGAAACGACGCGCGGCGTGGCGGCGTGGCGCGGCAGCCCAAAATTATGCAAAACGCCCCGCGCTGGATCTGCAGCGGGATGAGGAAGGGGGAAGGGAGTGAACGAACACAAAGCGAAAAGTCAAACTTGTCCTTCCTTCCCTCGGCCGCATAATTCGGGACCGTTCGCCGCGTTGGCCGCGTTCGGCGATAGCGGCCCGCTGCGCCCCGGCCGCACAGTGGGCCAGAAGACCTGTGGAGGCGGCCAAAACTCTAGACGCGTTTTGAGCTCCAGAGTCACTAAATGGGACTCGAACCGACCGTCTGACCCCACCAATGGATTCCTCGTTCGGAGAGCAATCCATTGGTGGGGTCACACGTTCGGTTCGAGCCCTGTTAAGCGACTCTGGAGCTCAAAACGCGTCTAGAGTTTTGGCCGCCTCCACCGGTCTTCTGGCCCACTGTGGGCCGCCCCGCCCAGCGCGTTATCAAGGCGATTTGAATTTTTGCCGCCGTCATTTGTTTTGCCGCCTCGCTTGTTGCTGGCGCGTTGATTGAATAGGCCGGCCGGGGCGGGGCGGGGCGGGGCGCTGACTTATCTGGATCGCCACGCCGGCCTTTTCAGGTAAAGCTGGGCCCGTACTTTGTAGGTCAAGTGTCGCACCCCGTTCAGAGTGACCCAGACCGGTTGACACGCCATCACACCAATTTTTTCGGCCCTTCGTTTCGCAGGCAACTGCCAGAAAGTGCGCCACAAGTCTCGCGCAGCCCCCCCCCCCTCTCTCCTTTCCCCTTCCTCCCCTCTCTCTCTCTCTCTCTCTCTCTCTCTCTCTCTCTCTCTCTCTCTCTCTCTCTCTCTCTCTCTCTCTCTCCCTCTCCATCTTTCTATCTTTCTCTCTTTTTAGCGGTGGCTCGGCAGGATTGGCGGCGCGTCTTGCCGCCGCAGAGTTTTGCCGGCAAGGATTCGGCAAGTCGAGCCATTCCGTGAAACTATCGCGGCCGCGCTGAAGGATTCTGCCGCCGCGTTGCCCTCCGCGTTGCCCGCTGCCGCCGCCGTTGGCCACCGCGTTGCGTGCGCGGGGGCGCGGCCCAGTTACAGTCAAGTTATTTCCCGGCGGTCGCGTGAGCGACTGTCGCCAGGAAGGGGCGTTATCGCGCGCCTCCAACCTCTGCCGCGGCGAGACCCGACCGCCCACCCCTTTCGGCCTTTCGGCACCGAGGCTGCCCCTGCCTCCTCTGCGCGGCCCGTGGCCCCCGTGGCCCCGCCACCGTCACTCTCATTCCAACGCGGCGAACCCAAAAAGCCGTCCCAAAAAGGGTTGGGCCCCCCCGCCGCTTATGACGGCTCTGCCAACCCCGTTTCTAATTGCTGCGCTTCGCGGACGACAGCCGACGGGTTTGCCTTGGCGATTCTCCGCTTGCGGGGGCCGAGCGCAGT